TGAAAATTTCTGTTTTCAGCATTGGTTGTTGTATCATATGGTCTCATCATTTGTCTTATGGACATGTTGGATTTAAATGCATAACAAAAAATAAAAATATTCAATGGTTAATATGCAATTAAAAAAATTCATGATAGTCCAGTAAAGTATGTAATGTGGATATTACCAGTGTCATAATCTGTAATGTGGTGATGAATATTACGAACCATTGTAATGTAAAGTGTCATAGTATGTAATGTGGTAATGTGTATTACAAAGAGTTGTAATGTAGACGGGGCAGGATTGTGAAGTGTGACGCGGAAAGAAAAAGGAGGGCAAAATCGGGAGAGAAAGAAAGAATATGGCGGGAGAGGTCCTAGTTGGGGGATAAAAAACATGAACTCCTATTTTAGGGATAAACACAATGTTTTAGTCCTATTAGGGGTGATTTCTACTTTCTCAATCACGCAGCCCATATCTTCAATATCTTCAATTTCTTCAATCAAGCAAATTCCACTAACCTAATGCATCCAAAAATGGGGTGTATTAATTAACCCTTTTTCCCCACTTTGTCAAACCTCCACCTCACAACACTCTCAACTCTCCCTTCACCCTCTCTCTCTGTCGGCCAGTCATAAGGAAGGAGAAGAAAGGACTCCAGCTCCATTCTTGAGTCAAGGGAAGAAGAAGGAGCAAGAAGAAATATCAAAGTTTTCCAGAATCCTGAGTGAAAAACGCAGCAGCGACTTCGTCGTCAATTCTGTAATTCTCTATTCATTTTCTAGAATTATTTATTATACCAAACTTGTAGCCCCAGATGTTACGAATCCAACCCAACAAAGGGTTCGTGATTCGGTTAAGTAACGAAGGAGATATCGCCAAAATACCGGGACTGCGTCAGTGGTGACGAGTTCCACGGGTTGGCTATGTTTTCTTCATCATATCCATATCTTTCATTCAAAGTGCTTACCATAAAACTCATATTTTCTTTTCCAATCATTCTCTCTTGTTGGAAGATTCATTCAAGCAAAAGAAAAGAGGAAGAACTTAAACTCCATTGGTGAAACAAGAAGAAGAAATCATCATAGTTTCTTCAAAATCCTGGCAGCAGCAAACCGTCACCTTGTGAGCCATTTTCATATATCTTAACGTCATTATTTCAGTTTGATTTCTGAACAAACGTTGTAGCCTCGTGTCTCGCAAATCCAACGCATCAAACGGTTTGCAATTTCGTTGCGAAACGAAGGAGATATGGTCAAAATACCGAGACTGCGTCGGTGGCGACGGGCCTCTCGGGTTTGACTACTTTCTTTTCAATATTCTTTCCATTCCGTTCAAAACTCTTATCGTCGATTCTCTAACGATTATTAGGAACTCCCAAAGAGTATCGTAGAGAAGACCCGACGTTGGAAGCTTGAAGTTGATAGAGGTGTCCGTACGTTGAACGTTCGTTG